GGAGGGGGAGGAGGGGAGGAAACAGCAGTAGGGGGATGATTACTAATCCCAGTCTTATGAGAGGGAGCAGAGGGAGGGGCAGGAGGAATAGAGGGCTTGGCATCGCTCAGTTTCGTTTTCATTTTCTCTAATACCTCCATACATCTTCTAACCAGACTATCCTACTTATCCTGAGATCTCTTAACATTATCAAGTTCCATGAGTAGCAAGCCAGCGTCGAGCGGACTCAAATTAGGAAAGGTACTACTAATAATCGGATCATTGAGGCGTGCTCGTCCAGAAGCAGGGAGGACAGGAGGAGATCCCCCTATCTCGTCTTGAGGCCTTTTGTGGTTGTCAGAATCCTCGACGACCGGATCCTTACCATTCCTCCCTCGTTTAGGMTCGCCAACCACTCTCTCAATTTCCTTCCAAATTTTCTTGTTCTCTTCTTCAGTCCGGGCCTGGTGCTGTTTGTCAAGCTCCTCCATCTTCAAATTGACGACTCTGGCCATACGTGCCTCCTTCTCCGCTTGACGAGATTCTTCATCCAGCAACCGTTTCTTTTCTTCTTCCTTGGCAATCCGTGCTTGCTCCTCCTTAAGCAGGCGGTCTTCAGCCTCACGTCTCCTATCCTTCTCTTCTCGCCTATCGTTAACCAGCTCTCTCAACAGGGAGACAACTTCGCCGTCGTTGGCACGTTGCCTAGGTGCCCAAGAGGCAGCGGGAGGAACGGGTGGCAGAGGAGGAAGGGAAGGGGCCGTAGGCCGGTACGGGACCACAGCAGAGGAGGTTGGAGGAGATGATGTCGAAGGCGAGGCAACAAGTTGCTGATGGTGGAACGGGGCTTRACTGATTGGAGGTGCCGACGGGGCGTTCATAGCTTGCGGAGGCGTGTAAGACGACGGACCAGCGCTGAAGCGGCCGACTGGAGTACCAGAAATTATCCCCTCCTGGTGTTGAACATACGGGCAATTCCTGACCATATGCCCCGGCTGCCGGCAATGGTAGCAGAGACGTTCGTATGAAGGGTAATGACCCCCATCCGCCATGGCTTACTGTTGTCGAATGGCACACACAGARAAACTGATAACACTACCCGCCCTTATCGATCGAAGTTGTCGGGCCAACTCTAGGGCAAAACAAAAAACACAACCGACAAAACAGGTTTCCACAACAAACGGTTCACCCGAGTTGGTCAGAATAAACAAACGRAAATAGATAACAGATTCCATACATACGAAAGGAAGGGACAAGCTAAGACGGAGAGACTAAGAAATCRTAGTAAAGAGAGATAACAGAAGGGATAGGCCAAAAACACTCAAGTGAGGAGATGAGATGAGATCGGGACGATCAGATCGAATCTCCGAAGGCGATTACACCAGTCAASGAATAACGAGGTGGTTCCAMTCGCTACCAACAGTGAGTAGGTGAACGCAAAACAGCTGCGTATAGGCCACAAGGCGAGACAGAGTTGGAGGAGGTATAGGGGAGATCAGAAAAAGAAGAAGAGAAAAAGGAGGGAAGATGTGGATAGAAGATGAAGGAAGGAGAAGGAGAAAGTGAAATAGCACACACAGAAAGCCATGACATGTACGCGAGAAATCGGCACTTCGAAAATATAGGAAGACAAAAATATAGGAAGACAAAAATCGTGCCGAACTGGCGGAAATCCCTACGATCGTTTCAGCTACCCCGCCAGAGGTAGCATCATCAAGGGATGAGAACGCGTAACATGACACCTCCAAGTGGGTATTTATACGAAAGAAGAGAGTCGTGGGCCAGCTATCTCACCAAAAGGTCCTACTCCGTACTTCACATAGCATACACGGAGAACAGAGATCTAATCGGAACTGGGGACATTTCAGGAAAGAGGCGTGAAAGACCAAAGAATAGTCGAAGCCGAGAGGAGGAGGGAGCGACCCAGAAAAGGGTAAAGCAGCCATGACCAAACAAGCCCTGAAAACCGTCGCGTCAGAACCTGAATTAAGATAGTGAGGAGAAGAGTAGATAAGAGGCGGGAGAGACCAACAAAAGAACAGAGCCAAGACGAGAAAGGAGCAACACRGAGGAGGGTAGCGCARCCATAACCAAGGAGCCCCGAAAACCGTCATGTCAAATGAAGGGAGGTAGGATCAGAAACCCWGAGGTAAAAGTAGAAAGTGGAAGAGGCGGGAAGGCAGRAAACAGAAGGGAATAAGGAGGGCTTAGGTTAGACGTGAGCAGGAGATCGAAGCGAGAACTTCCCGCGCTGGAGTAGARGAAAATGCGGAATGAACCGAACACCAAGGAGGCAATCCTCCTAARGACGAATCATGCGCCTGAGCTCRTCGTGACTGAAGTGCCTTCACAAAGATCCTTGGAGCAGAAGTAGACAGAGTAGGAACCGTTCTGAGATGATACGGCCCCGTACTAAAGAAAGGAGTGCAGCCACGRCGYGCAGAACCAGATGCTGAGTYCGTTCAAAAATGAGAGGACCGGGGAGGTGAAATAAAGCAATAAATACTATGAGAAGTCGATCATCGTTCCGCTCCGCGSGGTATGGGTCCTCTGGTACCATCGRGTGYTGGAGGCCCGAACCTCACCGGTCAAGCCCGAAATTGCCTTGTCATGGGGGCCGGTAAAACTGCGAAATTACGAGTCCAAAAGGGAAAGGATCGAGACCCACTGGTTCCAGACCCCCCCTCGATTTCGTGAGAACTTACCTAAATATTTGGAAAACGATCCAAGGGGGAACTTCTTTAATCGTAGTTCCCTTCTCAAAACATTTGCCTCAACATTACATCCAAATTCATTACCAAATTTGAAATAAAAATCAAATACGAAAAATAAATAATATTAATGAAAATAAGAAAAAATAAAACGAGAATGAAATTATTGCGTGGGCGAGCAAGTTTTTGACACCGCCATCTTTGGGGATTTTTC